ATTAAAACCACTTTATAGAACATCACATCAGTTACAGTGTAGAATCCATGTCATTTATAGTTTACAAATGACAAAATGTTTACACCAAATCATTACAGTGTTTACATGATATCACCCACTACTAACATTACTTTATTTTTTGTTTTTATTTCTATTAATTTTTTTCATCTTATCTTTTTTTATTTCAGGGGCAGCACAGTGGTTAGCACTGTTGCCTCACAGCAAGAAGCTCGTATATACTTTTTAATGTGCAGCACTTTGGTCAACTTCGTTGTTTAAAATGTGTTATATAAATACCGTCACCTTGACTTGAACTTTAAGCCAGAAAAACCAACACTGAAAGCTGGTTGCAGCTCCAAAATCCATAAGTACCAACTTTGTGGAGTGTAGTATTAGTTATGCTAAAATAGAGCCAATATTTAAAAAAAATAAATAAAAATGCACTCACTGGGACAGATTTATCTGCTCACTGCCTGCAATTTAAAAGTGACCCCACAGTTGGCTACAACCGTGAGGTCACACTGCTCAGTTCTGAAACCTCTGCTCCAAATTTCACTCTTTATTTGCTTGGATGAGTTCTTCACACTCTGGGCTCTCTCCTTAGTTCAGCTACAGTTCCCACTGCTCTGTACAGTCAGCAGCCTGACAGCCTCTAAATGTATCTAATCCACTAATCCACCATCAATGCTCAATATTCCATCTGTGACCTTTCAGCCTGCAATAATGATTCTTTTATCCAACTACAGTCTGCTAGCCACTACTAATGATAACAGATGGCTAATAATAATAATAATAATAATAATAATAATAATAATAATATATTGTACTTATATAGCGCTTTTCTAGACACTCCATGTGCTTTACAATTCCACTATTCATTCACTCTCACATTCACACACTGCCTGGTGGAGGCAGCTACAGTTGTAGCCACAGCTGCCCTGGGGCAGACTGACAGAAGCGAGGCTGCCATATCACGCCATCGGCCCCTCTGGCCAACAGCAGTAGACGGTAGGGTAAAGTGTCTTGCCCAAGGACACAACGACCAGGACAGAGAGCTGGGGATCAAACCACGGTCCCCCGCAATGTAGCCATCATGTAATTGCCAATAGTAAACGGCTAATGTTACCATATGTGTCAGCCAGGTTAACATTTATGAAGACCCTTTAATACTTCAGTATTAATGAAACAGGACCTTTACTGACCTCTGAACTTTCTCCTTAAGTCCTGTTCAGTGTTATGAACGTTAACTACTCCAGCTGTTAGTGAGGACGAGCTGTGTGTCTGTCTTTGTGAAGTTGTGTTTCAACTAGAAGAGTTAAAGACAGCACTGCTATAGATGTTGTTCCAAATCAGGACCTTAATTCAATATTAAATGTTAGTACTGAGAGTAGATTTTCAAAAGTCAAAACTACTAAAACGCCACCATTCATGTCCTACATATTCTACTGTGCACCAAACTTCAGGCTAAAGTCGTCACTTTAAATTCTTTAAAGAACCTTTAATTTGCACAAAGTTTATCTAGTTACAATTAACACATTAGCACAGTTACAGGTTACCTTTATCACAAAACATCCGAAGCACTCGAACTCCTGAACTTTTCAGTTGCCTGCAGTTTTGTAAGCTGCATTTTTGTGACTGCTTATAACAGGCAGGTTTTTATTCAGCTGCCTCGAACACACAAACCTGGAAAATAAGTTTGTCGGTGTTGTAAGAAATGCAGATTGGGTGTGGAACATGACCTGTGGGGATTTAGCATG